TGCCATAAATTAGGTGAGTCCTGTAATTGCCGAAGAAAGATAGTAGATAGTAGTTTTTTAGTTAAGTTATGCAGTTATATCAATTTGTTTTTCAATATATTATTGTAGATGAAGATAATATACATTCTGATGCATCGATTTCTTCTTTAATGTCTACGGGGAAAATAAATTTATCAAGAAAACAATTTTCAAAAAAAGCCCAGTCTTGTGAAAAACTGAATTTTGCAACTGAAAAAAGACTTGTTGATAGTAATGGTAATTAATATTATTATAGCAATTATAAAACTAATTGTCCTTTTACGCGTAATAAATTCAGTTACTAAACTTAACTAAATTTCTGGTTTCAATAAATTATTATTATACGTAATATTATGTATTAGACATATTAATTATGGTTTTAATTAATTAATTGAATCTCAAAATTCTAAATATTTAGTTTTTTTTAATTATTTAATATTAAATAACAATAGTTATTGTATAATTTATAATATAAACGTTTCCTCTTGTAGTTACATATGCACCAAATAAGAAACATTGCCCAACATGTGGTCGCTCAGGTATAAATAAACACTACATAAAAATTTTAACACATACAGTATCTATATAGTGGACAGTTAAATTAAGCTTTGTACTATTTATTTTAGATAATGCTGTAACAGTTACTAAATCCGATTTAGAATCACTCAAAAGAAGTATAGAATATCGTATCAAGGAAGAAGCAAAAATAACACGAGCATTATTTGAAGTTCCAAATAAAATTACAGAAATAGAAAAAATAATTAATGACAATACAATTATGGATTTGCCCAAAATTACCTTGGAAAGTTTTAAAGATTTTGAGAGACAGTTAGAGTCTGACACTGAACTTGTACAAAAATTGGTGAATACTTATAGTTTGTGAATATTGTAACTAATTCATTTTTAATTTGTATTGTTAATTTTCAGAAATGTTTTATCGTTCTCAATATGAAAACCAACTCAAAAATAAGTGAGAACTTAACAGTAGTTATTCCTAAAATAATCTGTAAAGAGTTTCAACTAATGTACAGTGCGTTCGGAAGGGAAACCAATGGCCAAAAAAAACTAAATTTTTCTTCTACCATCACTTATAAATACTTACTAGGTATACTTTATAACACTGTTTATAATCAGAGCTCATAATTTAATGTCCCAAAATTGTTGTTTAAATATGCATGGCATTTGTGCTCTAAAAAATACTCAAATATGTAGTAAAAAAAAACATAATTGACATAAAAATGCATTAAATTATGAACCTTTGTTTATAATATTTGTAACTGTTACTTGTTAGTTAATCCTTTTTTTAGTAACTCAATTTTTAAATTTCAGAAGCACTTATTACTAAACATGAAGATGTAAAAGCAAAAGAGATTTCGAGCATTTTAAGCCGTTGGTTTTCGGGGGCCAAGGACCGTGAAGGAGGGAAGAAACTGAGAATGAAGAATGATTCAAAAATAATAAATTAATCAAAAAAATAAAAATAAAATTAATATGGCTTCAATAAAACTAT